TTGGCATCTTTAAGTTCTTTTATGTTCCACCGGTACGGGTCGAGGAGTGCATGTCCCGCATATTCCCTTCTGTGAGCCCCTCTTTTACCGCTATCATACATGTTCCCGGGAAAATCTCTTGGTAGCGCCTCGTAACCCGCGCGGAGCCTCACGTCAATAGCGTGGCGATCCGGGGGACAATACGGTCGTAGACTTTAGGTGCCTGCCACCTTGAAAGGAGGAACGCCTCCTCTAAATCCTCCTCGTGGACTGGCCTTACGGTACACAAGGACCTATCCCGCCCCGGGGGATTCTTTTGGGCGTAGACTAATTTATCGTGTGTTCATGGTTTCCTATTGAAACGGTGGCGAGTTGGTGGGCTTTGCTACGGTAGTACGCTATTATACTGGTACAAGTACTGGCTAGCCGGTGGCGTGGTACTAGTGCTGTATTGGGCTGTGATAACCAGCAGCACGAGAATCAGAGGACAAAATCACGCTGTCCCGAATAACTAAACCGCCAGACGCCTCAGCGATGCGGCACCCTCAGCGAGGCGCGGCATACCTTGGCAATCAAGAATAGTTAGTCAAGTCAAAATAATTAGTAATATGAATTTCATCATGTCATCTTAAGCACAAGTGAGTGAATCAATAACCTTGGTCAACCACTTTCATACCATACATTCTGAAAATGGGAACAAAAGACTCCACAAACCCTGTCAGTGTTTGAGAACAAATGGCCATTGATATGGCTGCAGTTGGAACTGCTCCAAGCCTTACTGTTGCTGCAGGAATGGTAGGAGCACCTCCTAGTACCATTATGCATTGCCGAAAGGGAAGAAGAAATCGTGAGGAAGAGGGCCAAAGAAGGCAAAAGCTCTTGCCCAAAGAAGAGTAAACAGTGATAGACTAGTGCTACTTCCGCTGCTGTCTAGGATTTCTACTGACTGTATAGCAGTTGTATGAAATTGCAACCTCAGGTGTACGAAAGAGAAATCCCCATGAAACACTCAGAAAGTGATGGGAGGAAGGTTTTAAAATAAAAGACATCCAGAAGTGAAGTCCTGCTTCAGTAAGCAATTGGATTTAACTTGCAATATTCGTGGAAATGATCAGCAATTAGTGCATCATTTCTTTGATAAGATATTCTTTTTTCCCTATTTATTTCTTAATTGATCATTATTTTATTATTTTATTTTATTATATATTTTATTTCTTTTCTAAATTAGTTCTTCTTGAACATGTATTAATTATATTTATATAGTTAGAATCAATTGTACAAGAGTACAAAATCATGCCTCAAAATACCTACAATCTTGACAACGTTGGATTTTTATTAGGCTTGGGTTAGTCAGAAAGAGTATTAGAGGTTGTTAGAAATCCTCGTGAGAATAGGAAATTGAAGTATCATGTACAAAGTAGGTTTTTATTACTTTATATTAGATTTACTAAAATAAATACAGAAGTACTAATAGCAATATGGATGGTAAATGTGAATTTGTGACTATTATTGAAAGTATTTGTGCTGATAGATCTACGCTCAAGCCTACAATTTTACTTAAAGCAGAAGAATTTGTAGTGGAGTGGGTCAAGAAAGTTAGAGGTATATTAGAAGATATACTTTTTGAGGGCTCACATAACTGCTGGACCGATGAGAAAATAGTAATGGAGCATTTGAAATGAAACTTTGGAAAAGACAGTATCACAGCACAGAAAGCAAGAGATGAGTATTGACTTCTACTGTTTGATGGACATAGCAGCCATGTCAATATGCTATTTCTTGACTTCTCTATTTCACAAAAGATCATTCTCAATTGTCTACCTCCCCATACAACTCATCGATTGCAGCCATTAGATGTTTGCATTTTTAGTCCTTATAAACACCAGTATCAAAAGAAACTAATATGTCGCTTTGAAAGACATGAATACTGAGTGTCAAAAGAAAATTTTTAAGAAATTCTCATGGTTGCCCCCAGAGCTTCCTTCACATTGAGTAACATTCAAAGTGGATTCTGCAACACAGGTCTTGTTCCTATCAACAGAGATATTGTACTTGCAAAAATTCAAGCCTTGCTTTCCAAATCACCAACAGTTCATTCAGCTTTTACAAGTTCCAACCAACTAGACTCTTATCCCACTTCACCATTGCCTGAGCCCTTGAGTGCTCTCTTAGTCTAACAAATCGATGACCTACACGTACCGCAGAACAGAGTAGAAATCGAAAAACAGGAACTAATTGTACTTGCAACACTGCCGACAAACAATCCACAGAAGTGGGGACCAATGTCAGGAATACAGGAATCTCATACTTAGAAATCACCCTAACTAGGGCAACCTGACCTGGAATTGGAATCCCTGGTCTCTAACACCCCCCTCCGGCCCCCTTACAGAGCCCGCATATCATCATATACATCCATCTCCGTTGCATCCTGTGACTATAATGCCACAGAATCGAATGTGTCAGAATAATACCATATATGTTGCCACTGTCTATCCAACGGAATCTTGTTCACAGAGTCCATGAGAGGGGACCTTCGGCTAGGTCTGAGAAGTGGAACGGAGTAAATCCATCAACTACTTAGAGTGTTATTAGGCTTCAAAGAAGCAACATCTTGGATATAGGCCATAGGTACCGGGACATTTTTGTGTGAAGAGATGGTATCGAATGGTAAAGGATCTCTACAAGAGACTAATACATTTGCATCTACCCTACAAAAGCCACAAGAGTCTAGAACTCCAAGCGACACTATCACACAACCCAATGGACTTCACGGAGTATTACAACCAGGTTTCGGAACACATTGTAGCTGCAGGGATGACTCTCAATACTCTAACAGCGATTAAAACCCTGTTACTCAGAGTCACTAAGAGTTGCCGACTAAGGGAATATTTGTCAATCTGATGGAATAGCTTTCTGCGAATTAGCAGGAAGTCCTGCAGAAGATATCTATCGGTTGGCTAAGAAGTTATGAAGATTGAAGTCAGGCGACCTAAAAAGGTTGTGATTACGACTACCTTCACAGATACAACCCACAGATGAAACAAATCATTTCATCAATGGTGGAGACAATTGGGGCCAACTCAGTTCTACTTGAGAACTAGGCCATAAGTCTAAAGACTCTAATGATCAGAAAACTACTATTGGGAACAGCTTAGTTCCTAGCTAGTTATATCGTAATAGCCAAAGAGGATGTGGTAATTTTCAGGGTCTCCAGGTGTTTGCACCTTTTAAGAATACACAATGTTACAAGTTATAATCAGAGAGGTACATAGTTTTATAATCAATAGATGTAGTCTGTGAATACTCAGATGTGGAATATAAATATCGAAGTACCTTCCAAGCGTTAGACATCATCAAGCAATGGAGAAGAGACCTTAACAATATAATATTGTTTTTACAATTCTATCTTACTTTACCAAATTTATTTCGCTCTTAGTAGTCATAAATGAAACGAGTAAATTTGAGCCTTCCTAGACAATCTCGGTCTACAGAACTGAATCTTGGTTGGCCTAGACAATTCTGAAGTCTATCAGATTATCTCTGACTAACAACTGAAGAAAATAGTTAGTACCCTAGCCCTTACAGCAAACCGGGGACTTACTAAAATTGAAGAAAAGGAGCGGTAAATTTACAATCTGAAATAACAGTTAGCTGATATTCATCATAAGCGCTGAGTAAATCGAACAAGAATACCTTCCTCGGGAAAGGCTTCGATAGATCGAGATGATATTGCCTACTTTTTTGAATCTCAATCAACGGAGGAGCGTAAGGCTGCTGAGGGGAAGTACAATTGTGTGACAAGTTTGGTTGCTGTAAGCAGTAAGAAGTTAGCTGAATATATTGAGAAAAAGAAGGAGACAGAGAAGTTAGAAGAAGAAGGAAAGTTACCTGAGGACTACAGGACCAGTGCTACTCTGCGAGTAGAGGAAAGCCATCTTACACATCAGATATCTGAGGCCGAGCAGAAGGTTGAGAAATTTCACAAACACCTTCAAGATTTGGCCTTTGATGTGGAAGCCAAAAGTGAGGATTTTCTTGGAAGTCCGGAAGTGGAAAGCATCGGTGGCTTTGAGACAAAAGGAGCAGAAAATTTGGAGGAGGGAGCAGGGGCTGATAGAGCTCCTGCTCTGAGAGATGTGTCTTTGAATCTGCCGCTTGATTTGTAGTTTGAACCTCAGGAGTAGATAAGCACTCCTGAGGTGGTTGTGTTGTTGGTTGTTATGTGGAGAGAAGAGAAGAGAGAAAAATAACAAAATAAAGGCCCTTGTTCATAACAGGTAGAATCACATGCACCATTCATGCCAAGACACGCCGCGCCTCGCTGAGGGTGTCGCCTCGCTGAGGGGTCTGGCGGTTTACCTTTCCCGTCACATAATGGACTTCGGTGCACGTGGCAGCTTGCGGGATGATGATCTGCTATCGATAACTAGCCGTGTCGGTTCTGTCGGGAACCCGGCTTTGTCGTGTTGCCTCTGCTTTCCAGCCTGGTATTGTACCTCGACTTGCCGGTCGGGCTGAACCGATTGCCTGGAAGTGTGGATTCCTTGCTTTGTGCTCGTACGGTACTGTACAAACACGGTAAGTCAGGGTTGGGGGTGAAGTGGAGTTTTCGAGTCCCGGGGCCGATCCTGCCGGCAAGATGACTACGGGAGGGGTTCGAGGGTAAATATTACGATACTCTGATAAGTATCCCCAGTATCTTCTGATATGATATCATTCGCTAATGTCACGTCCTTCTCAAATATATACCCCCGACAGAGGATGCTAAACTAAAAAGAGCTATCTCACAGATCAGGTGAAGAAAAATGGGAGCGAAAACAAAAGAACCAAACAAGTATTGCCATATCGCCCGTCAATCATAAGTCGTTATCATGATAAACTCCGAACACCCTGCTGCCCTAAATGTCGTATGCCGATCAAAAAACTACATCATAAAAGTACATGCTAAAAAATAAGTCTCTTCCTTTTTACAGAAGTTGAAGGATCACTGATGCCAATACATACCTTATGAATCACATCTGTCCATTACCCCACCTCTCCTATACTCCTCAATCATAGACAAAAAAACTGCGAAAATTACCCTTTCAGTAGCCGCTCCCTTACAATCTCCTTTTCTTCCGAAAGATGCCGTTCCGCCCATGCCTGTAATCGGATCAGTCAGATACTCTGGGAGAAAGCGATATCTCAATCTAAACGAACAAGTATCTCAGCAGCTGCACGCATTTCATGCATTGCTCTATCATAAACCCCCATTACCTCGCTGACCCCGCCACCTCCAGCTTCTCCGTTCTGCTCATCGATTGATGAGGGGGACTTTTCAACGAGATATTTTATCTGCGAGAGAGCGTGAAGGGCGGACAACGATTGGCGTAAGGACTCTTTAAGCAATTCCTCGGGCGAGGGCCAATGCACCGGTGCGTCAAAATTTGAAGGTGTTGTGGGAGTTGGGGTTGGGGTGGGTTGGAGTGAGAGGAGATTCTGTTGACAAGTTCGTTCGTCACCGTCAGTCTACCAACCAACCAACAAACAAACAAACAAACCAGCTCAGCTCATCAACAACAAAGTCCCGCTTTCGACTACCGCCCCCTCTCCCCGAGTCCATAACCCCCCAGTAGAGGGTGGAAGAAAACGAACCATAGCCTGGGAAATCTTCGAAAACCCCTCCTCAACCCCCTCCCGTGCCATATCCACATCACCTCCACCCCCCCTATTTTCGCAACCCCCCACCTCAATCCATCCACTCCCGCTACTTCCCCCGGGCGACATACTCCCTCTGGACATAATCGAGCTTCGTCGTTTACGTGCCAGGGAAGACGTGGGCTTACACGGGGGCTCGGAGGAGCGCGGGGACGTCGGGTACGGCGAAACGTGGACGTTGTTGGCAGCGATAGCGGTATGGACTGTAGAGCGACGCTTGAGGCGGGAGGCTGTGGACGTTGCGGGCGTTGTGAATAGCGGTGTTGTTGTGGCCGTCGCGGTCGCTGTTGTTCTGGCCGTGTCCATTTTTTGAGTTTTCGGTTTATTTCTCTGAAGGTTGTGTGGGGAGGGAGGGGGTGTCTGGGGCCGGGCGAAGCGAAGCGAGGGAGCTTAGCGGGAGGAAAATGGGTGAGCGCTTGAGAAACCTTGTTGTTCGATTGATGTGGCGGTGCATAATTGATGGCATCATAATATTATTATGATACTGGTATGTTGGTCACGGATGGGCACTCGTGTGTCACAGTGTGTGGCTAGTGGTTGTCGTCGGATTGGCGGAAATGCATTTTCCCGCAAAACACATTATTCGCTGGCAAAGCGCTTGGTGCTTCGCCCAGGTACAGCCAAATGTCATATCTCACCTCCACGTATACAAATCAGAGACACACAATCCAACTTTTGAGGTATTCGTTCGCCGAACGAAAGCTAGCACATCAGCTCATTTGTCCATCTCATCGTTTCATACCGGGGGTAAAGAAAAATCCGACCAAGGCTGAAACGGACCAAAACACCACACCTCATCAACTCCATCGCGCTATCATACAGCTCAACGGATGCGCACGGCAACCCACTGTACCTGCATATCTCGAAACATCCCCGACCTTGTGGTTTGACATCATAAGGCTGTGCTAAATTTATGGTGTCCGTGGTCGTTTCGGATAAAGGTGTGGTAGGCGGGGATAAGGAGGCGGAAGAGTGGGCAGAAGGGGTACCATATCACAACGTGGGATAGTTTTTCTAGAAGGATGCAAGGTCTATCATACACGTCATGGGTAGGCGGGAACCATATCAAGGTGCCCATCGCACGGCCAAAGTTCATATAGTTTAAGGCTGAAACAACCGTTTTCTGCACCTTGGCTGCTTGGTTGGTAGTGGCTCTACGCATGTGTGATCGTTGACGTCGATGCAACGCTATCGGGGACGCTGTATTGTATGGGGACCAACAGGAATGGGGGTGGGGACGGGAGAGAGCTTGCGCAGTACGGTAGATACCACAGGCACATTGTAATGTCCCGTCCGTTGTGAATGAGATGAGAGGATAGAAGAAAGGGCGTCATTTCGAGATCAATCTAGTCCATTATTGCATGATTTTAGCATGAGAGGATGTCATATGTTGGGGTCCCTTTTATGATCGCATACTTGGGGAAGAGCCATGCAGGGGCCCGACATCGCATGAGTGGGCAGAAACTGCATGAGTATGATACCCGGATTTTGGAATCTCTGCGGCCTCTTCGAACCTGGAAATTCCAGATGACCGGGGAACAGATTAAGTCATCTCTTACCTGCGCCGATCTGCACCCTGCATTCAACCTAAACCAACAAAGTATTTAATTAAGCCTAATCGGGAACTGGCGGAGAGCCCATTCCGATAGGAATTCATCCCTCCCGAAACCCGGGGGTGGATCCAAGAATCGGATTTCTCCAGTTCTTTGTGTGCCAATAAACCCCCTGGGATAATATTATGACCTCGAATTGCCGAGTAAACGTCGGCTAATATTGGCTGGGAACTAAAGAGGCCTATTCTCCTGATTCCGAGGTGGTATTCGAAAAACTCCATCCAACGGGAGCAGCTGATAGGGGAGGAAGTGGCGGGATCGGGTGGAATCGTTATCGATTCTTTCGTTGTCCGTATAACCTCATACTGTGAGAGCGCACAAGCCGTAGGTAGTGAGGACGCTAGCCCGTAGTATTGTATTTGCTTCATCAAAACATGGAAACTGCCACTTTGTGCAATTTGTACTACAGTAGTCCCAATATCTAGAAATCTAAAACGCTTCCAAAAGAGACCCTCGGAGAGATATATATTCTATCTTTCCTCACCCGTTCTCGATAGAAAAAGGCGACTCGAATTCTTAAAATAGCTGTCCGATCAACACAAAACCACTGGTGCCGGCTCCCCCGGTCTCGCGCTCCGAGACGGCATCATTCCCTCCCCCAGATTCTCTCCCCCATCTACCAACACTCCGGGAATCCTAGGGTATCTAGACCACCCCGGCGTCGCACTGGTGCACGATTCCCCCGCTAACTCAGTCACCCTTACATTTTAATCAGTGGCTTTGGTTTTAACGGATACCAAAACAATCTCTTCCTACACAGCAAGTTTCTCAGTCTCCTGCATTTTCCGGTGGAACAAACACATCGGGGCCTGTGTGCCGCCCAGTTTGTTGGAGCGCTGGTAGAAAGTTGTGTATTCGAGTGCTCGGCTTTGTTTCATGGAGGGGAGAAGGAATGATGAAAGAGGGTTGATCTCATTTTTATGACAGGGGATTGGTGCTGAGTGATTTGGGATTTGGAATGGGTGGATGGGAGACAGGCTGGTCGGCATATAGCTCTACTACTGTACCCTTTCGATTTTATTTACGATAGGTTGGTACGTGTATCGTTTGTGTGCCATGGAAATCTCACTTGCACCTTATACATATTAATATCTCAAGCCTAGTACTCACGCATTAAAACACCGTACGACGCATCAGTGCATGAAGTTGGACGAGAACCGAAGGAAAAGAAAGAAATAAATCATATAGTATAACCATATCAAAAAATATCGAGTGGATCACAAACTATCACTCCAAGCTTCATTCTCGAAAGAAAGAAAAAAGAGAAAATGGCTCACACATCCAGTCTCCCAAAACTAGTACAAGTACAAGCACAATACCGTACTCCGAGAAAACCCCCTCACCAACGGGACACAAAAGTAAGTTCTGGAATATGAAACTTTGGAATCCACTCTAACTGTTCGCACTAATCGATATCTTCTGCGTGGGCTCGCGGGAGCAATGCATGGCATGTCGAGGTGCTGGATGGGGGATCTGGTAGCGCCTTGGTCCATATCGACCCGAATGTTGATTCCCGGATGGTGGTAGAGTCGGGCTGGGGGTAAAGGTGGGTATTTTCATATAACGCCGGTGCCCGGGCTTCCGTGGGTGTGTGTTCTGTGGGGATATGTGGTGGGGTGACGTGCAACTCGCCGCCGTGATGCTGTGGATTGACGCACATGGTCTTGGAAACGGACCGCTTGTCGCTTGCACGATATTCCTCGGGCTCCGGGCTAACTGGCGGTTCTAAGTTGAAGTTAAACTTTGGGTTTGGTTCGGCGCTAGTCCTAATGTACAAGTAAAAGACTTAATATAATACTCCGGGAGTAGTGCGGAACCGAGGTGCTATCTTATGATGGATTGGAATTTAGGCCGAGAAAGCTAGTGTGTACGGGGCGTTATTAAGATCTAACTTGATTGTAACAGATCTAGATTAAATAACCTGTAGGACCTTGCTCTAAGGATCAGCTAAGCTACCGCCGGCCAAGGAGGGCAGGTGCTGACTTAGGGATGTACTACATTTCCTCACTCACGATCAACAAGGATCACCTTGGAGTAATGAGAGAGTAGGGGATTCCGTGCGGGGTTCAGGAATGCCAGCATCTTTGTATGAAGTCGGGGTGCAGAGGTAGGGGATGGAAATGCGAGTGACTGCGGGTGGCGCGACCATACCGATCTCATAATATTATCACAATAATTCTCTGGGTTCAAGATCTCGGCGCATAATGAGGTCGCGGTTGTTGAACTGGGACTTGGGCGTCTCTCGGTATGTCGATATAGGAGAAGCAAGAGCGGTGATATGAACCCCAGGGACGGCGTTTTGTTCTACCCGCGAAGCGAAGGGGGCTTTTGTAGTGCTTAAATTTGGGTACCGGGTTGGTGGGGTGTGTTTAGTGAGAAAAGATGTACTCGTATACTTGGCGGGGGCTTGGATCCTGGAGCCTGGGATGCGGGGTTTGGATCTGCGGTTACGTGTAACTTACCTTCGGAGGATGGGGGATACGTGCCTTGTCGGACGTTCTGGTTCCCTGGTGCAATCTTCAACAGGGGTACGCCGAAGGCTGGAAGATGGCGGACAGGGGTATTGGCGGGCATAAAAGTGGGTAAAAAGAAAATACCCGCCATTGATCCCTGTCAACTACTATACCCCTCCGGTTTTTTCGTCGAGCCCCCGTTGAAGACTATGTATTTGAAGTATTGTGCCCAACCTACGTGTGTCTAAGCATCGTGTAATAGCCATGACTTCAATTTGGATGCCGCCGGTATCATCAAAGCCTTTTATTTTTTTTTATTTCAAAATCGTGGAAACAACAAATATAGATATTGCTAATGGCCCATCTCCAGAAAAGCCCGCATACCCTGACCGCCGGCAATATCTCCAAGCACAGACTTACCCCTCTCCTGTGGAGTATATAGGTCGGGTGTCTAAATGCCGGTATATTCATTTCTGTTCCTGAGGAGTCAACAAAGAGGGCGACAAAAGGATGAGTGGAGATTGATATCGCCTTGCGAGTGAAGAAACGCCTATGTCTGTGTGAGAAAGATGACCTGGAAGGAGGGGTGTAGTGTAGGGCCCCTTGTAGAGAGAGAGTAGGCTAAAGACAAGGGACACGTGAAAGTAAAAGAGAAGGATAATGAAACATAAGAGATCTATCGCAATCCCCAAATCCCAAATCTTCAAACAATACTGGCGCAGAATCCAGCATACGTGATCAGTGCCTACTGGCAATCCGTTCCATCTCCAACGTCCCATATCCGCACTATCCAAATCCAGCAAGTATACTGGTGTGAGTTTTCTATGCACCAAAGGATTGCGGCGCGGACGCCGAAACACAAAGTCTATCCACAGCACGTCCAAACATCTTCTCGGTATCAGGTGGACTTTATCGCTGTGAAGGGAGCAACTGATCGCGCTAATCGCAAACCACGCCCCCACCAACCTATCCGATGCTACGGCTGGGCGCCGGGGAACAGCCAACTTCAAGATCGGTTAAGAACCTACGTTCCTGGGCTCGGGCACTGGTTTTGCCGGCGTTCTGGTCAGTCCTGGGCGCGGTATTGGACAACTTAGTCACGATTCTATGAGGAAAAGAAGTGGTAGTGGAGATAGTCTTTGCTAATCTGAGGAGTACAGCGTTGTAAGGTAGTGATAGTACAAGGCGAGAATTAGCTTTACGGCTGCGATGCAGATCATACATATATGAACAATTCCTGCTTGTTCGGTAATTACCTGGTCGTGACTGTACGCTTCTTGCTTGTTACGGTTGATCAATTTTTCGATTCCGGCACTCACTACACGGAGCTATGATATCTAGACGTAGCTGCTCACAGTATGGTGTGGTGGTTGCATGCAACCCGAGTGTATATATGGCAATAGGAAGTGGTGTAAAGAGGGGGAATACGGGGAGGGGGGGATTTTCAACAACAAGGTCTACGGACAGCTGTTTGGACACTTGAATTGATGGTATGGCGACTGGAAGACTAGTATGAAGAACCCAAGCGAAAATCTCAGAGGAATAGTCCAGAGAACAAAAGATAGAGGGGGAAGGAGTAGCTACTGGCTGACAAACCGAGTGTAGACGATCGAATGGAGAGGGATGGGACCGATGATCAATAGAACAACTAACAAAGGAGAACAGGCCGCCTTTTATCCTTCACGGATCATATAGATCCTTCCCCGCCTTTTTCCGGTGTATGCGAGACCCTTCATCACATCTGATTACGGTAAGCTCCCATTGCCTTGTCATTTCCAGCTCCTCTGTTTCCTGCCGAGGGTAAGAGTATAGGGCCGAGGGCATGAACTGGCTGAGGTAGCGGTTGTTCTCCTAGTGTCAATAGCTGCCGGGGGTCAGTAGTGGTCGGATAGGAGTTTGGTGTCACCGTGCTAGTGGCAGGTTTGTAATTGACGCTTCTTGGGCGTAGTGCGGTGGTGTTGACATGTACGCGCATGTATGATATCAACAATCAAAAATGCAAACGGCGGTTGTGAATGGCGGGGTTGGGTTTGCTTATGTAAGGGAAGGCCCATCGGGTGCTGTTGGTTCCGATACCTGGCTAGAAACCCTGTTTATTTATCCTAATCCCAATCCCAACAGGCATAAACTAATTACGAGTAGCTTACCCAGACCAAAAACAAAACACTACTATGGGCAGCCAAAACTTACGGAGGTACAGCTCCTAAGTTTTGTATGTTACACCGGTTGCTAACAAAATGCCCACTGCGAGTGTAACATACAAAACTTAGGCGCTGTACTGTACCTCCGTAAATCCATAA